TCCCCAAACTTTCATTAAGAATTCCGTGTTCAACGTTATCACTTTAATCACTCTTCGTGATTTTTCTTCCGATATACGTATAATCATTTTCCCAGTGTCTCCTGATAATCCATCTCTTAAAGCTTCTGCTTCCTTTCCATTCACCGGTCATTCGACCATGGTGGATTTCGCGTTAAGGAACGATACTCGTTCGATCGGATGCGTTGTGGAACAAATGGAACGGGTGAACGGGTCTGTTGGATCAATTTTTCCATTTGAAAATTATTTCTTCCCCGCTGGAAGTTTTCTTTATCGCAACGGCTGGTTTAATTTTCTTATCCGATGTCCGAGAGGAAGAGGTTGAAATACGCCATTATGGTTCTAATTGAACCCCCGATACGAGATACGGTGTATTTACCTTCCCTTCAGGGGAACGGGCGTGGTCTCCATCTACGAGCAGGGAATTAGAATTTCGTTTCCTTTTTTCCCGTTTTTTTCTTTTTTTTTTTTTCTTTCCCCCTTCTGTTTATAGCCGGGAACGATAGCTCGGTCGATAAGAGGCGAAGCGGAGTCTCTAAACGAGCTATTGGCCCGTCACGCGATTCGAGAGGCACGCGCGAGTTAGCTCGTGCTGAGACGAGAAATGGAAAGCATGGTTGGCCATTATTGCGTCGTGTCGTGGCAGTCGATAGGAAAGTTGCATTTGAATTTCCGGCGAAAGATGAATTATTATATCGGTCGTGATAAGGGCCCCGGTACTAGCCATGAAACATACGCGAAGAACTGCCATAACCGTGTGCACCCGCACAGATAAGCTGCCATCTCGGTCCTCGTTCAGGAACATCTGCCACTTTTATTCGCCCTTTCCCCACTGGCAAACTTCTTTTCTTGTTTATTCCCCTTTTTATTTATTCCTCCGTGTTTCTTTATTTTTGACCCCTTTTTCTTATTAATCCCTTATACTACAATGACGAGTATTTTTTTTTTACGTGGGAGAAATTTTCGAATGATGCCCCACCCCTTGGGGGAGGGGGCAGGGTTATGTGGGATTTTTTATTTTTACCCACTGGAACCCCCACGATGGGGGGTTTCTTCCATCTTCGCCGCGCTGAGAGGGCATTAGGAACTCGAGACGCCCTGGGGCCCATAAATAAATAGGACCTTATTTGTTCCTCCGTGTTTCATTATCTTTAACCCCCTTTTTTTATTTACCCCTTATACTACAATAACACATCTCTTCTTTTACGTGGGAGAAATTTTCGAATGATGCCCCACCCTTTGGGGGAGGGGGAAGGGTTATGTGGGATTTTTTATTTTTACCCACTGGAACCCCCACGATGGGGGGTTTCTTCTTCCCATCTTCGCCGCGCTGAGAGGGCATTGGGAACTCGTGACGCTCGGGGGCCCATAAATAAATAGGACCTTATTTGTTCCTCCGTGTTTCATTATTTTTAACCCCTTTTTCTTATTTACCCCTTATATTACAATAACACGTCTCTTTTTTTACGTGGGAGAAATTTTCGAATGATGCCCCACCCCTTGGGGGAGGGGGCAGGGTAATGTGGGATTTTTTATTTTTACCCAATAAAACCCCCACGATGGTCATCTTTGCCGAGATGAGAGAGCATCGGGAACTCGAGACGCCCTGGGGCCCATAAATTTGGGCCCATCAATGAAGAGCACCTTCCCAATTTTTAATTTTCACTCGCAATATTGAGTCTAACTCGTCGTAGGTTTCTCAAGCTATATTCTTTAGAGACGAATTATATTCGTGATGGAGTAAAATTATTTTAACATGCGCATATTTTGTATCGATCTCAAGAATTCATGTGATTTTATTATGAATAAGATAGGTATATGCAGTGGCTGATTAAAATTATACAATTTTACGGTGCACAGTTTCTCATAATTAAATCATAAAGTACTAACGCGTGTACAAGACCATTTAACACATCTACACCGAGTATTTCCATTGGTTTGCTTATTAGAGAAGTAATAAAGAATTAATAAAGAAATTGAGAAGTGACAAAGACGTCCATTAATACTATTGTAAATGTAACCTTATGTGTCAACTGCTCTTCTATATTTCCATTCTGAGTTTAGTATTGCTAAAAATGGACGACACCCGTCAATGCCAAACCTAAAACATCTGTTACTATCATTTAACTGTTAACTCAAACTTTATTCTAACAAACGCAATCAAAATGCTTACATCAGTTGGGAAATTTTTCTTAGTTACCGGATTGTACACGAGTGAATAATTTTGAATAATTTCATCTTTCATTACACAGCATAGATTTTTATTACAAACTATTCGCACGACACTTCATTTTTCATTTTTCATTTTTCATCTTCATCTCTCAAAGATATTTCTAAATTTAATTTATTATCAGTTTCGAGGTCAGGTACGTTTTGAAGTATAATTCTTGGCGGGATTTACCGCTCGTACACGGGATTATCGTCGTAGGTTTTTATTCGGAAGTGAGAATGACGATTACGCTGAAGTCTCGTGCTTTCGTTTTCCTAATTAGCAACCACTGGCACATGAAACGCGTTTTGCGTTAAATCGTTACGGCATTCCCTGCTGCGAAGTATTATCCCTGGCAAAAATTTCTTTGCCAAACATAATAATACATATTTCTTGATTATTTCCTCATACCTGGTAAACAAAACTTCGAATTACTTTTAATTTTCTTAACACTGTTTTCTTCCTGAACTATAACGTTTTACGCTTAAAAAATCATAATAATTTTAGATAATTTCGTAGTATCATGCTTGGCTTGACAAATTTCGTGTCAGGGGTAATAGGAGTTTGAAATACATTCGTAGGTGCGGGGGTGATTTCGATAACACGACGAGTTCTGTCGTTAATATCGTATCTCGACATTGTTTGCTTTTTATCAAACACTCGTTCTCTTGCATGATTCTCCCGGGTAATTATTTTTCCAATAGACGGTCATCGGGAGAATCTGAAACCGATAGGTTGAAATTAAATCGAGATATAACCATGGGTATACTCTTGTATTCGGTTGCATTTTATTTCGATATCTCTCCTATCCATTCTCGAATGAATTATTGTTACGTTTTTTACTCTTTGGGACCAGTGGATGTAATGAAATTTTTATTCTCGATAATTGCTAAAATTCCCAGGTCGATTTTGACATTATTCTTTCGTTGCGTGGAGTGAGATTTCGTGATCTTGAGTCTTGGGGCATGGAATGTACAATAATTTTCTTATCACAAGGGTGTTTTCGAGGGTACTGTGAAGGTTAGAGGGTACTGTTTTAGACCATAAGTGTCCTCGAGGACATGTCACTAGTATGTCACTAGATCAAGATCGTTTCAGGATCTAGTACAGTTACTGAGGTTGCTTAAAAATCGTAGTAATATTATTACAGTCGTGTCATTGGAAATCAAGGTAATCCGAAGGTCACGAGAGGTGACAAGAGGTCATAGAAACCGTGTCACAACTGGTGGAGATTGTCGAGGTCATTCGAATATAACGAAGCATAGAAAATTAATTGAATATTAGTTCGATCGTTTCACCTGTACGTTCGTAAAGCAGATTATGCAAATCGCTAAACAATTTACCCACGCAAATGTTCTGCGTCAGTCTCTACTTTATCTGCTTTATTCTTTCCTCTCTTTCTAAATTCGTTAGACTATAAAGAAAAATTCGCAATGTTTTTCCAGGAAATCTCACTAGAATTAAAAAGAAAAATTCGCAACGTTTCTCCAGGAAATATTACTGGAATTAAAAAGAAAAATTCGCGACATTTTCCCCTATAAATCTCATTGAACTTGAAATAGAAAAAAAATTCACGATCTTCTCCCATTATTTTCATCAGAAAACCCTCATTAAATTTAAACAGAACTTCGCAACTTCTTCTTCCATAAATTTCATCAGACGTGATAAGAAAAAATTCGCAACCTTCTTCCTGAAAGATTTCATCAGACTTGATTGAAAAAATTGGCAACCTTCTCCCCATAAACTTTATCAGACCAGGTAAAAAAAATTCGTGACCTTTTTTCTCATAGATCTCATCAGATATGACAAAAAAAATCGCAACCTTCTTCCATAAATTTTATCAGACCAAGTAAAAAAAATTCGCAACCTTTTTTTTCATAGATCTCATCAGATATGATAACAAAAATTCGCAACCTTTTTCCCATAAATTTCATCAGATTAAATAACAAAAATTCACAGCCTACTTTCTGAAAGATTTCATCAGACATTTAACAAAAAAATTCGCAACCTTCTTCCCATAAATTTCATCAGATATGATAAAAAAAATTTGCAACCTCCTCCCCATAAATTTCATCCGATTAAATAACAAAAATTCGCAACTCCCTTTCTGAAAGATTTCATCAGACTTTTAAAAAAAAATTCGCAACCTTTTCCTCATAAATTCCATCAGACTAAATAAAAGAAATTCGAGACCTTTTCTCTCATAGATCTCATCAGATATGATAAAAAAATTCGCAATCTTCGCCCCATAAATTTCATCAGATTAAATAACAAAAATTCGCGACCTTCTCCCCATAAATTTCATCAAACGTTGACAAAAGATACGCAGCTTCCCCTCAAATCTCGTTAGACTTAAAAGAAAAAGTAAATTCCCGACATTCGTGATTATTTTCTCCGCAAACCACATCAGAGTTAAAAAGGAAAGAAAAAAGGAATCGCATCATTCGCGACCACTAGCAACGTTAATGCGATCCAGCCGAATCCATCCCCCGAAACGCGTCCCGCTATCTCTCGAACGCGATGCGCCCCGGGACCATATTAAACGAAGGGCCGACAGAAGTAAAAGAGACTCGGCAAAAAGAGAAAAAAAAGAAAAAAGGAAAAAAAAAGAAGATAATTCGCGAAAAAGACGAGTAAGCAGCGACAGCGGTCGTGGATGAGCCCCCGGGTGTTTATTTAACCCTTAAAGCTTGCCGGCATCCAATTTCCCGGTCAAGTCTCCCCGCCAGCCCCGGCTAATAAACATTCTCCGTTGCTCTTCTTTCTGTTCCAGCTCTATCGACACACGTACCTGGCCCACTACAAGATCGTGAACCTGCAGACCTTGTAAGTAAACGAGCCGCGGGCCATTTAACCTAATCGTATCTCAAACTTATTCCCGCGGACTCTCGGATTTGCATTTTAACTCTCGCGCCGGCGCAGTCGTCCCGGACGACCAGTAAAACCTGTCGGCGTGCAAATTACGCCGACGAAAACTCCGTCCACCCCTTACCCGACGTCTTAGCCGCGAAACGCGTCGCCACCGTCCAACCCCTCGATCCACCGCCTCATCCAGCCACGCAGACGCTGCAACCCTCACCCCCTCGTGGATGTCTGCGCGTTAATTCGCCGTTTAATAGCGCTTATATCACGATTACAGTCCACGTTCCACCCCTCCACTTCCTTCCAACCCTCTTTGCTTAATCGCGCTCTTTCGATCCTCCCCAGAATACCACCCTCTGTCCCCATCCTTGCGTTGGAAGTCGAGGCTCCAGAAGCCGTAGATGCGACGAGAGGAAGACCATGAAAGCGACGTCGGTTTGACATTGTATCTTGGAACCTATGGGGTAGCACGCCCGGAATTGAATTTCCCATTGCAGGTAATAGGCAGTCGATTAAAATTGTCGTTCGACGCGCGCGACTCGAAACTTGTTATGACGAGGTACGTGCAATTTTCGAGAGCGGAATTTCGCGAGAAGGCTCGTTCGCCAGGGCACCGTGGCCATTACTCGGAAATTCGAGTGTTCGAGGAGCGGAGTAGGTGTAATGGAGACTGTACCTCGGAGGGTGATATCGGTATTATATTACGGGTTATTTCGCGAATCTATGGGCCAGGCGAATTTCGAATTTCAGCCAGCGCCTGGTCAATTAAAATTCTTATCGAATGGAAGCGCGGGATTGAATAATTAAATTGGATTAAATCGAGTTTAAAATAATTTCTCGCGGCTTCCGTTCCCGTTATTGAGAAATTCGAGCAGGTGTATGGGTCGCAGGCTATACCTTGGAGGGTGATACCGGTGTTATATCAGGGGTTATTTCGCGAATCTATGAGCCACGCGAATTTCGAATTCCAGCCAGCGGCTTGGTCGATTGAAATTCTTATCGAGTGGAAACACGAGGTCGAATAATTTGATTAAATTCAATCGAGTTGAAACAATTTGTTACGAAGTTTGTTGCGACAATGATGGAGGTTAGACGTGTCTTACCGTACTTCTTGAAAATTCAAAATTATAACTCAAAGACATGGCATCGGAGACGTTGATCGGAACTCGAAGACATCGCTTCAGACGAAAACGAGAAGTCAAGCAGTACGTATCAGAAGACGTAAGATGGGAGATATGAAACGTAAAACGACAGAAGACGAAGACGACATACGAAACTACACGTATGTAGGAAATGGTAAATGAGGGGCACTCGTTTATTGGCATACAGTGTCCCCATTTGGAACTCAGATCAAAGGGACCCCTTAGGGTCTTCCAGCTGTCAGGTCCTAAATGCTGAGTGACTCCGGGTTTTATTTCTTTCTTTTATTAACTTCACGAGGCGTCGTCCCAAAGCTGAATATAGGGAAATTAGACTTGAGCACTTAGGACTTGGCTGACAATGGGCCGTAGAATGTCGGGGCCAGGCCATTTGCGTTGGCTTCGAGCAACCCTGACCTCCCCCACTATAAACCGAGGGTGACGCAGCCGCGGTTACCTCGGTAAGGGTCAGCAGGAGGGCCCCACTTGGAAGGAGGAGTCTGCTCCTCCACCGTTCTTGGTCCGCAAATTCGCGGACCAAGGACGCACCCTTAGTCCCGCGAACCGCCAATAGCGAGGGTGCTTACCCTCTGAACGGGCTTGAAAATCCATGTCCAGAGATCAATCGCATGAGTTATTTGAAAAAAGAGGCCGAGTGATTGCGAGCTATTAGTCGAGAGTTAACCGTTTGAGTCCCAGAGGGTTTTGAAAAATCACTGTCGCGTGTCCCAAGCAGCGCGACCGCGCTGCTTCTAAGTGGATACGATAGAACCCAAGCAGCGCGATAGCGCTTCTTCTATTTTATGTCGTGAAATCCCAAGCGGCGCGATACCGCTTCGTTTATATTATGACGTTGAATGGCCAAGTAGCGCGATAGCGCTTCGACTTCGACAGTCGGTGACGCACCGTCAGCTGTCGAGAACGCTCGAAATGTGCTGGGTTTTCTCGACATGAAATCTAAACAGCGCAATCCCGCTGCTGGGAACTCAAACCGTTAAAATTTGTGGAGAATCCGTCGGTAGTAGTCGTCAAGTCAGTGTGTCAGAAAAAGCCAGTTAATAAAGAAAATTCCTACATATACATCACTTATCCAAATTATCATCAGTGTAATAAAGTGTGCATACACAAAACTGCTACTAAAACTTATTACACAACGCAAGTGCTCAGTACCTCGAAAGGTTCGACATACTGAGAGAAGACAACCAGCAGGACAATCCACGACTGCTTTCGTGCTACGAGAAATTTCTTGGCTTTCGTTCCCATTATTGAAGAATTCGAGGAGGTGTAACGTATCGCCGAGTATCCCTTGGAGGGTGATACTGGTGTTGCATTAGGGGTTATTTCGCGACTACGGGTGGCGCTAATTGACGCTAATTTTGAGCAGTAGGTAATAGTTGATTAAAATTCCTTTTATGAGTGTATTCGAGTACACGTGTAATTAAACGCAAATAATTTCGCGAACACACTGGCTCCGTGCTTTGTGCATCCGTTATTTAGAAATTCCAGCGTTCGGCAAATGAAGTGGGTCTATTGAAGAGAGGACTATGTCTGGTGAGAATGATACCGAGATCGTTGTATCGTAGGAATTATAAGCGAATATTCGCGGAATCGTGTTTTAAATTCGCAGTAATACCAGGACAATTAAATTTTGCGTACAATTTCGCCAATTGCTGCGTAAAATTTCCGGATTCGAGATGCAGAGTAGGTATATCGGAATAAAGACTATGCCGCGGGGGGATGATATCGATATCGTTGTGTTTCGGGATTTATGACCAAATCAATGCGTAAATTCAATTTTGGGTCCTCATTAATACACGGTGAATTAAAATTATTCTGCTCGTTGCATCGTTAATCACGCCATCGGAAATGTATATTTTTATGCGCGAATTGCGAGTGAAATTTTGCTGGAAGAGGCTCCTCCTTCGTTACTTTAGGGTAAATTCGTACTATGATTTAATTAAGAAGAAGCGTGTGTAAAATTATCCAATTTTGATCACCCGTTGTGTACGTATTCTACTCGCGATAAAATTAGGAAAAATGTTAGAATTTATGGAAATTTCGTCCGTGTTAGAACGCGTTGAGTATAATTTCAGTCTAATGCGAATGTGATTCGTCTTTATAGGTTTTAGCGTGAAAAACTCACGGCTACTTGGTCCCGAAATCGTAGTATAGGGGGTTAAATAAAACGGAGTGATATTAAAAATCGTTCCATCTAGCTCGAGATCTATTTCACAGATTTATTAGACGTAAATGGAACGAAACAAAAATCCCACTGATCTCGTTCGAAGCTACGCTATTGGACACTCGTAATTCCAGTTGACACTGGAATAAAGAATAAAATTCCATGGGAAAGCTCGTCTTTGGTTCGAATAGGTTAAACGAAACGAGGTCTATTTCCTGTAACAATATTGTTAAAAATTGTTTCATTTATCTCGAGAACTATTTCACAGATTTATTATACACAAATGGAATTTCGAGTCTGCATCGAAGTTTGATATAAAAATCCCATCATTTGACACGTGTAATTCCAATTGACAATCGAATAAAGAATAAAGCGCCATAGAAAGACTTATCGTTCGTCAAAAATAAATTTCATAGGAAATCGTGAATAAATTTCATAGGAAAACTCGTCTTTGGCTCAAGTAGGTTAAGTAAAACGAGGTCTCCCCCTCTAACAATATTATTAAAATTCGTTCCACCTATCTGCAAATGTATTTCACAAATTTATCATGCACAAATGAACTTTGAATCTTGACCGAAGAATGAAACAAAAATCCCATCATTTGACACGTATAATTACAATTAACACTCGAATAAAGAACAAAATTCCATAGAAAAGATTTCTGTCAAAATTAATAAATTTCATACGAAAGCTCGCCTTTGGTTCAAATAAATTAAACAAAACGAGGTCTACCCCTCTAACAATATTATTAAAAATCATTCCACCTATCTCGAGATCTATTTCACAAATTTATCATGCACAAATGGAACTTCGAATCTTGACCGAAGCATGAAACAAAAATCCCATCATTTGACACGTGTAATTTCAATTGACACTTGAATAAAGAACAAAATTCCATAGAAAAACTCGTCTTCTGTCAAAATTAATAAATTCCATACGAAAGCTCGCCTTTGGTTGAAATAAATTAAACAAAACGAGGTCTACCCCTCTAACAATATTTTTAAAAATGTGACCATTTATTTCGAGATGTATTTCACAAATTTATCATGCACAAATGGAATTTCGAATCTTGACCGAAGGATGAAACAAAAATCCCATCATTTGACACGTCCAATTTCAATTGACACTCGAACAAAGAACAAAATTCTATAGAAAAGATTTCTGTCAAAATTAATAAATTCCATATGAAAGCTCGCCTTTGGTTGAAATAAATGAAACAAAACAAGGTCTCCCCCTCTAACAATATTATTAAAAATCGTTCCACCTATCTCGAGATCTATTTCACAAATTTATTATACACAATTGGAACTTCGAATTTTCACTGTAACATGAAATAAAAATCCCATCATTTGGCACGTGTAATTCCAATTGACACTTGAATAAAGAATAAAGTTTCATAGCAAAACTGGTCTTTCGTCAAAACTAATAAATTTCATATGAAAGCTCGTCTTTGGTTGATATAAATTAAACAAAACAAGGTCTCCCCCTCTAACAATATTTTTAAAAATGTGCCCATTTATTTCGAGATGTATTTCACAAATTAATCACACACAAATGGAATTTCGAATCTCCACTTAAACCTAATCAGCAAAAATCCCACTGGTCTCTTCCGAAGCAACACCATGAAACAATTCCAATTGACA